CTGTCCTCCTCACTTCGCAAGAGATAGTTGTCTCAAGTCCCCCTGAGGTGCACAGCCATATTTTTTTGCATTCACAGGATGGAGAGATTGACCTGAAGCTCCTCACCAAAGCCCTTGCCCCGGAACACGAAGTTCGAGAAGTACGTTGCAGCAGCAGCTCCTTAACTCTCTCGGTCAGGTCATTCCTGTAACCAGGTGCCCCCAACCCTCACCCACCCCAAGGCTGCACTCTGAACTCTGCCTCCCCTGCAGGTGGGTGTGGGAAGTGGGCTGTGGTTGCAGAGAAAGGCCTTCCTTTGTTCTACCCCCAGCAGTACCTCTCTTGCCAGGATGACGTCAGCTGGGACTGGGACCGTTTGTACACTGAGGTGTCCTCAGAGCTCCTCACCGAGTGGGACCTGCTGCAGACAGAGAAGGAGGACCCTGTGGGGCAGTCCGCACACACCTGAGCCCTTGCGGGGCAGCAGACCACTCTCCCTGCACAGAGTAACCTCCGCTTCGGGCTTGAAAAGATTCAATAAGCCTAAAACTAAAGCTTGCCAGCAGCTTAGAATTTTTATATGGAATGTTTTGTAATAAAAATATTTATTTTCAGTAGACCACATTGGAACATTCAGTCATAATAAATTACTCTTTTTCTGTGGCCATCTCTTTCATTTCTTTCCAGCGCCCTCCTGGAACGATTCATCGAGTGAAGGAAGCAGCTTTTAAACAGCCCGATGGGAACTCTCCCAGTTGTGGAAGAGCATGAGGGAAAGCTAGATTCAGGGCGAGAAGGGATGTCACTCTTCCTGCAAGTTGTTCAGTCCACAGAGGCCACAGCAGTTCCCTGGAGCATCTGCCTGTAAGCACCTGGACACAGGGACATGGGAGGCTCCCCGCAGCTGCCTCTTAGGGTCGGGGGGAGGGCCATTGGGACGCCTTTCTTACTGTCGACATTCAGACCCTTAGTGAAGCTGCGCTGCCTCCTTCGTGCTTTCAGGCAGCTTAGCAGAGGAGACAGCAAGAAGTGGGTGTGGTAAGGCGACCCATTCCTCCCAAGGGGGTCTGGCGGCTCTTCTGACAGCACACCCCTCTCTCCTTCCTTCCTGTAACCCATGCCTGGGGCGCCCACAGCATGTTTCCCTCCTGCCACAGGTTCCCAGAGCCTTGCTCCTGGTTCTCATTAGCAGGGGCCAGCTTGGCAGCCCTGACAATTCCTCAGGAACAGTGTCTTCGGGAGCCTGGGACTCCCTCTGACCTCGCAGGTACCTAGCTGCCTGCCTCGTTGCTCCCCTAAGCAGCGTCACTGCTTGTTTCCAAACGAGCCAAGATCTGGAGCAGAGCCCAACACTTTTTCTAAACAGAGACATCTTTTGTTTTTGTTTTTCTCTCTTTTTTTCCCCAAGACGTCTCATCCGAGGACGGGGACATCTCCCTTCCTGCCTCTCCTAGGTGCCACTTCGGACGAGGCCCACGCAGGCTGGCAGCAGCTGACTAAGCCCCTGTCCTCGGCCATGGGGCCATGGGGAGTGCGCCGCGCTGCTCTTACCCTGCCTGGAAAACCCTTCATTAAAATTCAGAAAACACAAAGGCTCAACGCTTCAAAAACCCACCGGGGGTTGTTTTTGAGTGACTAGTGCCCTTCCCCGGTGAGCTGGCTCCGGAGCAGACACACACAATGCTTGTCTGCTAATTATAAACTCAGGGATTGAGTGGCTTTGGGGTCCCTTCTCCTTTTCCAGAGTCACGCTTTTAGCCCAGACAGACCCTCTTTGGAATAACTCCCATGGTCACTGAGAAGTTTCCATCCAGGCTAATTTTTCTTGAGCCTGCATCATTCTGAAACCCAAAGGAGAAAGACTGTGTTTCTAGTACCTTAATTACTGGGAAATTCATCTGCCTCGGGTCTCTGATAACCTTGCAGGTCTTCAGCCAGCTGGCGCACGTGACTAGGGGTTGACTTCTTCTTCCCTTTATTTTATAACAGCAGCAACAAGGTCTAACAGGTATCGAGCACTCACCACATGCCAGGCACTGGGCTTGCACATATGAATTGTCTGCTTCATCCTCACAACCACCCAGTGAAGCAGATACTGTCATTATCCCATTTGACAGGTGAGGAAACTGAGACTCAGAGAGGTAAAGAGATCTCCCAAGATTATCCAGCTACTTTGCGACAGAGCCGGAATTCAAAACCATGTTATCTGATGCCACTGTGCTTTTAACACCTGTGGTTTTGTTCTCCCTCCCTCTACTGCCTTCAGCTTGTGAAAGGAATCTGGTTTATATGGACAGAATAAGCAGTGCCCTGGGAGAAGCTGCCCACCACCCCTTCACTCTCTCACACACACACACACACGCACACCCCACCCCCACCCCCCCCCTCATTGTGCTTGCAAGGTGCCTAGTACCCCCTGCACTCAAGGTTTTCAGTGCTCTTGTGGACAGTTGGCTCATTTCTTGTTGGCTGGTCTCCTGCAATCATTGGCTGAGTGGGGAAAGTGGAAAACCTCTCACCCATTCCCATTCAAATTCACTTATGATTTGTGTACTTTGCTGTATGTATGTTGCAATAAAGTAAGTAACAATTTATTTTAAAATGTAAATGACAATTTGACAAAGAGATATAGCTTCAAATATAATCTGCAACAAATTGGTAAAGCATAATAGCTTTAAATATAAAGAGCAGAAAAAATCAATAGACACCAAGATTTCTCCACTAGAAACATGAGCAAAGGAGGTATGAACAACTGATAAAAGAGGCATTACAAATGGCTTTGTATATATTGAACAAATCTTAACCTGCATTGTAAGGAAACAAGTTAACATTTTTAAACAGGATACCAGTTTAACTTGGCAAAGACTTAATAACAAATAATAGAGACTTCTGCTTCTGGCCATGATGGAGTGATTTACACACACACACACACACACACACACACACACACACACACCACCCTCCACCCCCTGCCCCAACTAGGCATCCATTCTTTCTAAAGAATGACTACAGGGCAGAGGACTTCTATAAGCCTAGGTATGAAGCCCCTCACCATGGCTGAGCTCAAGAGTCCTGGCCGCAGCCAGGGCCAGGGGATGAAGCCATGGGTCCCAGGAGAGGAACAGCACCAAGTTATGTGAGCTAATCCTGGACGAGAGTCAGGCTTAGGCCATGTCTGGTCAGGTCTCCTGTCACCAGCCTGTGCCCAGGACACACCTTGTCTGGGCTTCATCCTTTACAATGCATTTGAGCATCACCTCTTCAGAGTTCTTGGGGAATAATAAGCTGTTCCAGAACCTCCGTCTACCCAGTTCTTAACCTGATTTCTGAGATACCTTCCTTATGTTCCAACCAGTGAGGTCGCCCACCCAGACTTCAGAGGGCCTCCCAAGAAGATGGCCCACGAGGCATGGCAGAATGGATGAGTATCTACAGGTACCCACAATGCAGTTTTGTGCAGACACGTGGGGGAGATGTAGAATGGGCCTTGGTGCTGCCACCTCCTTCATGTGGCATGTTGACTGGTTCCTTACCAGTTTCTCCTAGACTGGCTTGTGTCACCTCTGAGCAGGGTTATGATGTCCCAGCTGGTCTCTGACAAAATCTCCCACAGTGTCTTTGCGTTGAGTGGTTGCTGCAGGCCTGGTGGAGAAGTTTGTTCCTGCGTAAGATATTGATTTCTGCTTAGTACTTGCCGGGCTCTGTTCTAGGCACTGCAGAGATCGACCTAGACGAGCCAAACTCCCTTTCTTCCTAGCACTTCCACCTGGGGGAGGAGATGGACAGATAAGGAAGACAGTATGTCAGGTGGGAATAGACGCTATGGAGAGAAATAGAGCAGGGAAGGGAGAGCTGGGTCGGGGGGCTGAAATTTTAAATAGGGTGGTCAGGGGAGGCCTCACTGAAATGGTGACATTTGAGCAAAGACCTGAAGAAGGTGAAGGAAGGAGCAAGATGACTACCTGACAGTGTTCCAAGGAGCGAGAACAGTGTTTGCAAAAGCCAGCAGGAGGACATGGACCTGGCTTATTTGAGCAGCAGCAGGAGGCCAGTGTGCCTGGGGCAGAGGGGACAAGGAGAGAGGAGATGTCCTGGCTTGCCGAGCCCAAGGCCTGGGCTTGTCACAGAAAAGACCTTGGGTGTGTGGGGTCTGCCCTCTCCAGGGACACGCATACTCTTCGGCCCCCTTGAGCTCACCAGGCAGCCTTTGGAAAACGTTCCCCAAACGGCTACGCAGCCTCTTTGTGCCTCAGCCTGGAAGAAGCGAATGGTTAATGCTACATTAAGGGAGAGGGGAACAATGAGCTCTGTCTGCCACGGACCAGAGGTGAGGAGGCTGCTACCAGCTCCCGGACAGGCTGGGGTGCACCAGCGTGCCGGGCACACGGGGTGGCATTGTAAGGCCCCGGCGTGGAATGCTCCCTGGAAACCTGCAGCTCCAGGGAAGCTCAGGCAAGCAGTTCATTTGGGCAGCCCTGTGGCTGGACCTGAGGTTGTGTCTACCCCTGATTGTTAGCTCATCTTTGCTGACCCCCAGAACACTCCAGATAAGCTTTTGGAACTACATGCTCTGGATGGAAACTGATCTACTGCTTGTTCATTGTGACTTCACCAAAACGTGCTGCTTACATAAATCAAGGCCTTTCCTGCTTAGTAGTTGGGAGGCTCCCAGGAGCAGTGGTACTGGAGGCTTGAATGAAAGGTAACATTTACTACATACAGCAAGATAAGGCAGCTTAGCATCCTTGCTTCCAGTCCCAGCTCTGCCACTTAGTAGCCGTGGGTTCTTAAGTACGCTACTTTCCCTTTCTGATCCTGTTTTCTCATCTATAAAACAGAGGCAATATTTGTACTATCCTTATGGGATTGTGATGCCCAGTGAAAGCTGACTGCTGTTAGACTTCAGAACTGGATGGGATTGAGTAGTCAACACAGGGAAAGTCACATTGGCTATTTTACTGCAATACCTGTGTTTTGCTGGGGGACAGCACCTTCATTTCCCCTCGTGCATCATTTCTCAGCCATGGATAGAATGGTTTGGCACCAAGATTTTTTATTTTTTTTATAACAACTTTATTGAAGTGTAATATGCACACCTTAAAATTCACCTACTGAAAGTATACAATTCAGTGATTTTAGTAAATTTATGGATTTAAACAACCATCACCATAATCCTGTTTTAGAACATTTTTATTACCCTACAAAGTTTCCTGTGTCCATTTAGAGTTAATCCCCACTCCTACTCCCAGCCCCGGGCAACCACTGATCTGCTTTCCGACTCTATAAATGTGTTGTTTCTGGAAAACTCATATCAGTGGACTCATACAATATGTGGTCTTTTGAGTCTGGCATCTTTCATGCGGCCTATTTTCAAGGTCGGTCCACACTGTACTGTGTGTCTTTCAATGGCTGAGTGGTGTTCCCTCAGGTAGGTACATACCACATTTAGTTTAACTGTCCATCAGTTGATGGACTTTTGAGTTTCCAGTTTGGGGCAATTATGAATAATACTCCCATGGATATTCATGTCCATGTCTTTGTGTGAACACGTTTTAATTTTTTCTTAGGTAGATACCTAGGAGTGAAATTGCTGCTGTGTCATGCGGAATGTTTATGTTTAAGAAACTGCCAAACTGTTTTCCAGGGCATCAGTTTTGTATGTT